GATCATTTTGCTGGGCTGTCTCAAGATGGGAAGTTTGATGCACTATCCTATTGTCACATGCCCACTGTGCTACTAAGAAATTAACCTGAACTCCATTTTTCTCTTTGGATTCAACTTGGCAACTTCCATATTGTGGAACAATTTGAAGGATATGGCTAGTATATTCTTTAGCTTCGAGAGACAAATCCATGTGACCTATGAAAAGTCACCTATAAAATGCACAAAATACTTGTAATCAAAGGTACCACATCTATCATCATCATCTTCATCATAATCATCAGAGCCTTTTCCTAACTATTTGGGGTCGGCTACACAAATCTTGGTCCTCCATTTTTCTTTATCAAGGGCTATACCCTTAGTGAGGCCATAAGCCCCCATTATCTTTTCTCACTACTTTTAATCATGTCCTTTTCGGCTTATCCCTTCCTTTGTTTGAGCCTTCCACTTGATCTAACTTGCACCTCCTAACATGTGTTGTACTAGGTATGTGTTGTACATGGAAACCCACCTAAGTCTACTTTCTCTCATCTTATCGCTTATTTGAACCACATCTAAGTTCTCCCGAATTTATTCATTTTATCCTTTCTTGTCTTGCAACTCATCCATCTCAATATCCTCATCTCAACTACACTCATCCTATAGATATGTTGTTTCTTGACCGCCCAATATTCCGCTCTATAAAGCAAAGCTGGTTTCATAGCTGTCCTATAGAACTTGCCCTTCATCTTCATTGGTATCCGGCGATCACATAAAACTCCAGTTGCACATCTCCACTTCCCACCCAACTCTATTTCTATATGCGACATCATCCTCAATCGCTCTATTTTCTTGGATTATTTACCCAAAATGCGCTCTTTTTGGTATTTGTTAGCCTCAATCTTAACTACTTTCTAGTCTCTACTCCTATTATTACTAAATTTTTATTCCATTTACTCTGTTTTAGTCTGGGTAATTTTAAAAAATTTAGATTCTAGAGTATTCCACCAAAGTTCTAACTTTGTGTAGACACTGTTTTGCGTCTTATCGATTAAACTATGTCATCCACTAACAACATACACCATAGTACCTCATCTTGTAGGTGTGTATTTAAGTCGTCCATAACTAATACAAAGAGGTATGGACTCAACTCTGACCCTTGATATAGATCTATTGTCACTGAAAACTCACTCTTCTCTCCACTAGTGAGTCTTTAGTGGCTATAGGTCCCATATATAGCGATCACTAAAAATCATAATATATAAGGTGGAACCTAACATGGGATTCTATTATTCACGAAGGAATTTTGGATTGTTTAGACAATTGGAGGTGAAATGTAGTAGAAGGATGTCTAGATATTGGTACAAAGGTCCATTCTTGTCTTCCTTTATATTGACAAGGGTAGATGGCTTATAGTTACCAAGACCTCCCAACCTACGTGTCAATCGCGCTTCAGGATCTCGCTTTGGCTTTCCAAGATAGGGATCTCCACGGTATCATGATCTTAAATTTTGGGATCTCGATAGCCATTTTCTAAGGATCGGTCCTAACTGCTTGAAGGGGCAACAGGGGGCCAGGAAGATGACTCATTTGGATATGAATTGCGATTATACTCTCTTTTTCTCTATGATGCTTTTGGAGTTTTAAAGTGTAAAATTGTAAAATTGTATTTTATCAAAAAAAAATTGTAAAATTGTAAATAAAGCAACCTGTTATACTTTTGGAGATTTTAAGTATTAAAAAGTAAGTAAATCAGATTTTTATCAATAAAAAATCAGCTTCATTAGATTGTTATTAGTTATCCCGATGTGCCTCATCATTTTTTATTGTAATTTTTGGGATGATTGTTTTGTAACTTCCACTTGAAAGGAATATATAAATATTATTTTTTAATTAAATAAACTTCTGTTTTTAAGTAATAAATTTTTTAATTGTCTTGTGCCCATATTTTACTGAATTATGTGAAGTTATTGGATTTTTTTAATTTTCAATGAATTTATTAATTTTAAAATTTTTGATTTATTAGTTAAATAACTTTACAGAATGTTCACCCAACCTAGGGAGCTTCTAGCATGTGATGATCCCGCACTCCTGCTTCCAACAACTATGAGATGGCTTCTTGTCTCAGAGAAATGACCCATGGCACAAGCATCGTCTACTAACCTTCCTCCCAATCTTTGATAAATGAAGCAGACAATGTGAAGGGAAAATGTGAAACACCAATTTTTGGACTGAGGTTTTGCTAGTAACTGAGAGTTAGATGAATGAAAATCTAGGTAGTTAATTAGGATATATAAAGGATTTGGAAAACATTGATGTTGATCTGGGACTGAGGTCCATAAATTATGACAAGAAAAATATTATTCTTACTTGAGGGTGCTTGAAAAAGAGCATAAGTAGCAGAACTTCCAATTCCATCATATGATTAGCTGTTCTTGAGTCAATGATCCCGGAGCTGGAAGATGAACTCAAATAGCAAGTGTAGGTGTAAAAATTAGCAATATCCTGAGCAAATAAAGCTGTAGTACTTTCAATGCTGTCCAATAGTTGAATGATCTTCTCAATGTAAGCTTGTACAGTTCCCCCAAGCGTAATAGACATGATATTGGTAACTGGGTTTTGTGTTGAAACTGTCTGCAGATGTAGAGAGATTGGTAATTTCATTCAAGTTCACTTCTATTCCAATTGAGGCACCTAGATCTATTCAGGGAGCACTCCTTGACCTTTGCTTTAACCCCACTCTCTAGATGTTGATCTAAAATTGGAAACGATCAGTGCATTCGGGTTTGTCTCCTATTCTTTCTACTTCTTTCTAGTTGGATAAAGTTTGAAGAAAAGCTTCCCATGTGTGGAGCTGAATGCAATTGACTAGCATTAGTTACCGCCAATTTGGGTTGTGATAGTCATATTTGATTTTTACATTATGGAGAATATGAGTTCCCTAAAAATTCACAAATTATCAATTAGAAACTATGCAATTGACTTAACAAAGAACAAAGCGGAACATAAAATAACCTAATGAATCATGGACACAATTTAACATTCTCATTAATGCTCCTCTTAGGCATATGATTGTTGTGTTCTATTTTTATTCAATAAAGCACAATCTCTGTTCTCTTAATCCTTTTGTTATATGTGCAGCATCTGGCGTGAACTCCTTGCACCTTCCATATTTTGGATTCTGTGGTCGATTGGTTGCTATGTCATTGATGCATAAAGTGCAGTTAGATGTCGTGTTTGCTCGTGCATTCTTCTTGCAATTGGCTGGGAGATCTGTATCTTGGGAAGATGTTCAGGATGCTGATCCATCCATGTATTCAAGCTGCAAACGAATCATGGATATGGATCCTGAAGTTCTAGATTCAGATGCTTTAGGCCTCACTTTTGTCACTGAAGTTGAAGAAATGGGGTTACATAAGGTCATAGAACTTTGCCCAGGAGGGAGGGGTATAACTGTAAATAGTTCCAACCGGCAGCAATATATTGAGCAGCTTATTCAACATCGCTTTGTCACATCTGTGAGTGAACAAATCTCCCACTTTTCACAGGGTTTTGCTGATATTCTTTGTGAGCCCAAGCTTTATAAAAGCTTCTTCCAAAGCCTGGAGCTGAAGGAATTTGATCTTATGCTATATGGAAGTGATAGACCTATTTGTGTGAAGGAATGGAAAGCGCACACTGAGTATCATGGGTACAAGGAAACTGATGATCAAATTGTTTGGTTCTGGAAGGTATGTGGCTGTTATCCAATTACTTCCTTGAGAGAGCATTCACTCTTTGTTTTGTATAGTCAAATAGATTGTAATTTTGATTAATGATGCCAAGTGATACATGACGTAAAATTTATGTGTAATGAATTGAGATGAAAGGCTTAGACTAGTCAAACTTGCATGCTGTATCGATCGTAGATAAGTGTCTTACTTGAACGCTCGCCTGTATCGCTCCATGCTCGCTTGACTGAACTCAGTGGAATTCACACTCCAAGGAACGACGTATTAACCTTGTGGATCATACGAGACTAGTAGAGTTCATTGGAATCCTTTTACTTCAGAAAATTCAGATTTATATGTCGATCTAAGAGTTCTGTATTAAAAAAAGCATGAGATTGGGAAGCTGGTATTCTTGAATTTATCGATGCAGTACTTGAACTAGTCAATTATGATGTATTTCATTCATTCCAATGTGGAAAATTCTAATTCTCAAGTGTATCTATGGTTTCATGAATTTATGTCTGATAATGTTTTGTTTCAGAACTTTCTTGGTTTATCATTTAGGTAAGCAGATCACCATGTTCATCATCATATAGGTCTCTAATATCTTGCTGTATGTTCTTGGATACTTTCAATGCGCACTTCTGTATTTACTTTTTGAATGAGAAGATTTTACGCTTTGGTTTCTTGTCCTCTCTTCTCTAGGACTGGAAATTTAAGAAACTAACACGTGGATTCGGTTTCTTCTCCTCTCTCCTCTTAAGACTAGAAATTAAGAAACTAACACGTGGACGTGCTAGATATGATTGAATAGGCTCATACCAAAATCAGTTATTCTGTCTTCCATGTGTCTATACTCTAGTTGTCTTCCTTTTCTATACTCTCTTTCTTTCACATATGTGATCCGTCTTTGTCTTTGAGAATGGTTGTATGAGAAGGCTGATCTACCCCATCAATCAAACCCTTATTTATGGATAACTCCATGTTAGTCCCTGCTAGCCAAGGCATCAAGGTTAACACATAGTTACCCTGGGCGGAAGCACAAAAAGCTCCGGGAGCGGAAGTGCGGAGCGAGGAAGCCGTGAGGTTCCATGGTCGAGGGAAGGAGTTCTGCACATGGGCAAATGTTGAGATCAAGATCCTTGATTTTAGGGATCGAGTTCCATATCTTCAAAGGATCGCATACCTTGTGGGTGGGATTGCGTTCTTCCATGTTAGGATCGAGGTACCCAAAGTTCAATACTCCATTGTATTGTAATCTCAGAGCGACTTCCATTTAATAGCATTTTTAACTTTTTCCAAATTCACAAACCCAAGTATCAATGTAAATAAGAATCATTTCACTGAAAATCTCTTGGACTTTTTCAAAAGATTCGAAATAGCTAAGTTCTCCTTTGCAAAACAAGAAAAAAGGTAAGACATTGCCAAATAAACCAAATAGCTCTCCTCCATCAAAGATTACTTGGGGCTCAATGATCTCTATAGGAGAGAGACCTCACATTTCCAAGCATACATGTTTTCTATCGCCCACAAGGCAACCCCATGTGTGAATCAATTTAGTTAACCAACAATGAAGTGATAGAAGCCCTTCAAGAGGTGGACAAGTGTTGAGGATTGATGTCTTGTATTTTGAGGAAATATATCTGTCAAGGTTCGGATATAACCGTACATGGGATTCGATATATCTGGGACTTGATATATATATCCGTACAAGGATATTTCTGTAATTTGTGCCATCTATTTGGGACTCGATATATATCATTGCGATTGGGGGTTCATCCAAAGTTAAGGGTTAAGGGAAAAATGCAGATCTCTTTGTAATTAGATAAAAAAAAAAAAAAAGGCGTGAGGAAGAGAGCGAATTGTAACCTTATTCTCCATTGCCAGTAAAGAAACTCTAATCTCCCGTAGACGTAGGCACGTTGCCGAACCACGTATATCTTTGCGTTGTGGTTGATTGGCTATTTCTTTTGTGTTTGTTTCTTCTTTCTTGTTTTTCGTGGATTGCTTTTCGTTTCTACAACAAGAACCAATGAACTAGCCATAAGGAAGCTTAGCGTATTTTTCGTGACCTCATTCCTCAAGAACCGCAATGCGACTATCTTCTGTAACTCATCCTAACTTCTTCCTTCCCTCTTTACCCTCTCTGGTTGCCTTTCTTTGAAACTAGACACAAGTTATAATTTACAAGGTATGCAAAGTTGTGAACTATAAAATATATAGGAAATTATGGCATTTAGAAAGTTTGTGGATCATAAAAATTTCCGTTGAATCTCGCACCTAAAGTACATGATACTCGATTCCATGTTGGTGGAACCACGGTTCTGCTTACTCATGAAACGATGATTTTTTTATAGTAGGGCTCTTGGTCCGATTAACATAGGATCGAGATCTCTGATTTCCCAGATCAGGATCCTTAATATCAATGACTCACTTGGAATTGAGATCCCATGTTTCGGAGTTCCAAAACCAGATTCGGAAGCGGAAGCAACCCCTCCTTAGAAAACCCCAGTAACTATGGTTTAATAGTCGTTAGACCATTGGATTTAACCTTCTCAAGGATTTATATATGAGGCTTCTTATACAGTACGCTCTCTTTGTTTTTTGTATCTTATTATGTTTTATTTTTTCTTACTGATGTTATTTTGTCTTGTACCCATACTTTACTCCTTTGCCCACTATTTGTTTTTTGTAATTTCTAAATGCAACACTATTTGGTACCCTCTCTCTCTTCTCTGACTTCCTCTCTCTCTCTCTCTCTCT